TTGTAATCATTAAAAATTTTATCAGGTTTTTATGTTTAGAGTGGGTTTTAGATATGTTATGATTGAGTTTTGGATATATTATGATTGGGTTTTGGATATGTTATCATTGGATTTTGGATATGTTATGATTGGGGTTCGGATATGTTATGATTGGGTTTTGGATATGTTATGATTGGGGTTTGGATATGTTATGATTGGGGTTTAGATATGTTATGATTGGGTTTTGGATATGTTATGATTGGATTTTGGATATGTTATAATTGGGGTTTGGATATGTTAAGATTGGAGTTTGAGTGGTTTTGAAAAAAACTTGAGTTATTTTTATTTCTCCTGTATAGCAAACAAAAAGCAACAGATCTCCTGTAAAACAAACAAAAAGCAACAGGTTTCCTGTATAACAAACGAAAAGCATCATAAATATAATGATATTATTTCTAATGACAATATTTTTGCTGTTAATAATATTTAAACGCTACATTGAAATCCTGTAATTTATTGCTAACATTTGCAGTTTAATCAATTTATAGTAAGCTACAATTAAGTAAGATAATGTTTTTTACTTTTTATTATTTACACCTGTCTTTTACCTCTTAATTCAATCTCTTGATTAATTAATAGTTTAAAGTTGATAATTACTAATGAATTTTTAAACAATAGTATAGTATATTGATTTTTTTTTAATTTAAAAAAGACGTTGACACTTAAGCTTGAAAAATCAAAAGTTGTTTAATTAATACTTTGAGAATTTTTTAGAAAAGAAAAGTTTAAAATTTTTAGTAAATAACCCTGAAGTTACTCTCCTCCCCTTCTATTGTACTAGATTCAACAAAGTGCCTTTTTTACCTTGCTAAGTTTAACAAGATACCCCTCTACCTTTCTAGATTTTTTTCATGGAAATACTTTTTCTTGGTTTTATATTTTAAATTTTATTTATGGCATAGGTACACAAGTAAACATACATAGCATACAACAGATATTTTTATTATATACAACTAATATAAATATTTCCCTAATATCACTTTGCAGTATTATTTTTGTTTTAAATTTTCTTTAGCAAAGTTTTAAATTTAATAAACCAGATTATTTAAATTTTGGTCTCAATGGTTGTCAAAAATCATTATCCCACTTCATGACATTAATATACTTATCTAAGTTAATATAGATAAAATTCATAAATAATGATAATTTATGTAATATATAGTAATAAATTTATACATAATAAACATAAGTATTCATGAAGAAATATATATATATATATATATATATATATATATATATATATATATATATATATATATATATATATATATATATATATATATATATATATATATATATATATATATATTATAGCAATAGTTCAAACAATATTACTTTCTTATTACAAAAATAATGACAAAGTTTGAGGAAATTTTAACTGAAATATATTTTTAAAAAGTTTACTGTGTCTAAATTTTTTTTTAGATCGCAATCAATAATAACATTGCTTATACCATTATTTGTGATGGTAGCAACGGCTTTTGTTCCAGCAAGCTTTCTTGTTTACTTAGTGGAAGATCGTGCAAGCAAGTTTAAACATCTTCAGATAATAAGTGGGCTAAATCCTATTGTTTATTGGCTGGCTAATTTTACATGGGACATGGTATGCTATTCAGTATTTTAGTATAACATCTCAAGTATAAAATGTAATTTTTTTTTTAATTTACTGTTATTTATTTTATATAATATATAATAAGTTTATTGTTATTATGTTTTAAATAGTTTTTTTTAATGGAGTTCAGCTGCTGATGGCAACCTGTTTGATGTTCTACAGATTGACAGTTAAATTTTCATCTACTCTTACTTGCAGGGCTTGTACCACAAGTAAGAGTAGAAGAAAGAACAGACTTATTTAATATAAAATTATGTGCACACTAATTTAGAAAAAAATTTCTTAGTAATATTTTTCATTCTAGTTTATCACAATTAAAAACGTGTTAATAACTAAATGTTTTTGAAAAAACAATATTTAAAAAAATAATAATAATAAATAAGACTATACCACCTCATCATTGTTTCTAATTTGCCAGCTAGCCAACAGAAAAGCTACCAACAGCTAACCAACAGCTAACCAACAGAAAAGGTAATTTTCTGACTAAAGATCCTAGTTTGCCAACATAAAAGAATGTATAATATAGGGGAAAAGAGGTATAGTGTCTTTTTGTGCACACTCATGCCACCTTTTATACACTGGTCCTGAGTAAGATGGATGTGTAATTGAGACAACCCATTTTTTAAGTCTGCAAAAAACAGATTTTAAGCTTGTTTTTAATATTACTTATCTTGCATAAGACTCTTTTTTAATGAACTTACTGAAAAAGGATGCCTGTGGTGTGTGAAGAGGGTGCCTGAAAAAAAGTCCCTCCTTTATTTAATTAAAGTTAATTTTTGTTTAATTTATCTTATTAAAACAAATTTTTTAAAAAGTAAAAAATCTTATTACAACTGCGATTCGATAAAGCAGCCTTTCATGCAGAATTGCTTGCATTAACCTCTTGGCCAATCAATGAATACTAATGAATTTTTTATTCTAAATTATTTTTATTCTAAATTAACTTTTTTTAAATAAAAATTTATGATGTACATATTAGGGTGTGACAGCTGCCCCAATAATATTAAATTTTAACCTTAGAAGACTTCATAATTTTAGTATTGCATATTGGTTTAAAAGCATACCTGTGAAATTTCATAAAGATTGTGCAATTTTTGAGGTAGCTCTGACCTTGCAAAGTTTTAGTTTTTTTATTATTATTTTTATCCAATTTGTTGGGATTGTTGGTCAAACTATTTTATTGCTATTATAAATCTTGTTTTTTTTAATTTGTTTTTTGTTGCAACAGGTCTTCTTTAAAGTTTAGTAGTTTATGTGTGATGTGTATTATGTGGATTTTTATTTATAAAATTTATGTATGATAATATTGTATAGATTGTTTGGATTTTTTGTAAGTAAAAATACTTAAACTAAGGAAAGAAAAAAAAGTTTTGATATTGTTATAACTATTATCATTTTTATATATTAATGCATATTAATATATTTAATATCAGGATTTTACTTCAGATTACTATTATTATTATTCTATTTATAAATGACCTTGAATCAGATGTTAGTCCTTGGCCTTGGCTTAAGGCAAAAAATTGAGGCCTTAGCCTTGAAACTATTGGCCTTGGCCTTGGTCTTGGCCTTGAAAATTTTGGCCTTGGCCTTGATTTGTTTTGGCCTTGGCCTTAAAAAAATACATGTTTTCTCATTGATTTTGTTGAATTCTGCCCTTAACCTTGGTTTATTTTTACAAAATGGGGTTTTATTGTCACAGCACTTGCTACTAACAGTTGCATTTGTAATTGACCTTAACCTAAAGCAAAAGTTGAAGTCTTTGGTCTTGAAAATGTTTGCGTAGGCCTTGGCCTTAAAACTCCTAATCTTGGCCTTGACCTTATAACTTTAAGCCTTGTAACTTTTGGCCTTGATCTTGGCCTTGACCTTTTAATGTGTGATGAGAAGAGCTGGTTCAGCTTTGTCTGCTCATAATAACTAGTCGATCTGAATCAATGACCTTCAAGATGTTCTATACTAATGCCCTTCACAAAACAAGGATTACAATAAGTAAAATGCTTTATACTGTGAAGATTGTGCTTCTGTCTAGACTGATCAAAGAACATTTTCTACAAGCTGATATTGTTACAAGTAACAAAAAAAATAAATTGGAACCATTTGTTATGTTCACAGTTTCAGTTTATGTGCAGTGGTGGCCTTTTATAAATTCGCAACGCATGATTGGATTAACAGGGAAGATTACCAAAACATGAAAGTGTTTGTCAATAAACTTTAGGTGGTAAATAAAGCAGCAGAGGGTAGTGTGAAAGTGTACCATGACTTTCTAGCTTTAACTAGGAATGAGAAGCACTTTCAAAATGTTCTCCAAGTATTAGAACCTCATATACAACATCATATTCCCAATCAGCAAAAGCCAATTTGTGCACAATAAAAGTAATTATGGTTTCTAGTTCTGGAAAATGAGTAGTTTTATTAGACACTGTTATACATTATTACACCATGTTTAAAAAATTTAAATGAAAATGAAAAGTATAGATTTTTGGGCTAAATTCGGTAGTTTCAATTTTCCTGATGCTCATTCAATTGTGGAAGAATCTTCAAAAAAACTTTTTATATGTCATTTTTATGACTAAATACAATGCCAAAATTATGAATAGCATCATAGAACAAAGTACAAAGTTAGGGCAACTGTCACACCCTGATATATATATATATATATATATATATATATATATATATATATATATATATATATATATATATATATATATATATATATATATATATATATATTTATATATATATATATATCCTAATATTATTTCTTCCTAATATTATATAAGAAAAAGCATTTCAAAAGCTTTTCAAAAGTATGTCATGTTGGGTTTCAAATGAAGTGAAACTGTATAAAGATTTCAAAAATATGTAAATCAATTTATAAGAACATTATTGCTTTAGATTTTAGTTAACAGAAAATGACATTTTTAAACAAAAAACAAAAAAAGTAAATTCAACAAGATTTTTTGAAAATAATTTTTTTTGTTTAATATATTTTTTTAAATGATGATAACTTTTGACATTTTTTTTGAAACTTTATTGATATATATATATATATATATATATATATATATATATATATATATATATATATATATATATATATATATATATATATATATATATATATATATATATATATATATATATATATATATATATATATATATATATATATACCAACACCTTTGGCCAGATGGAGCTCACTTTTTTTTTTTATAAAATATTATTTTAAATTAAAATTAATTGAAAATAAAAGTTATTTTATTTTTTAATATTATAAGTAAAATCTATATACATTATGGAAATTCAAAAAATAAATAATATATAAGAACAACAATTTACAAAAGCAAAACCATGAAAAAAAGCATTCTAATATTTTGTAGAACCTCTTTTCTCATGTAAGCATTGATTGACTCTCTTTGGCATTGAGTTTACAAGATTTTAAGTTATTTCTTTAGGCACAACGTCAAGCAGTTTTCTTATTTCAGTTTTTAGTTGTTCTACATTTAAAATTTGAATTTTTCCAAGATGATGATCTAACCAAGAACATAAATTTTCTATACAATTCAAGTCAGGGCTGTTAGCAGGCCAAGACATTATTGATATTTGATTGTCTACAAAGCATTGTTTGGATATTTTTTCTGTATGGCATGACGCACCATCTTGTTGATATTTGATATTGCTGTTTTCTTCTTTAAATATATCAATTGAGGGAAGAAGGCCATTATCTAAAATGTCAATGTATCTATTAGCATTAAATCCACCTTCAAATAATTGATAGCACCCAGGCCCTAATTCATGCAGGCCCAAATGCCTATACTGCCATTACCTTGCTTAGTTAGTTTTAATGTACAATTTGAATCAAATCTCTCTTGAGGTGATCGTCGTAGCATAACATGGCATTTTCGCATATCTACCTCAACATTCATTTAATTGGAGAATATAACATTTTGCCACTTGCATTCAGGCCAATTTTTATGTTGATTGCACCAGGCAACCCTTGCTTTTTTCTGTTTCTTTGAAAGTCTTGGCTTCTTGCATAGCGATCGCCACATATAATTATTTCTATAAAAAATTCTTCTAACAGTTCTTGAACTCACTTTTAATCCAGATGTATTGTTTAATTTATGGCAGAGAGCATTTGACGATAACTTTCTGTCATGTTTCATTAAACGAATGAACAAACGTTCATCTCTTTGTGTTGTTACAGCTGGCCGATTAAATTGGCATCGCTCCTTAATGTCATCTGTTTCACTAAAACATTTTAAAATACATGTAACAATCGAATATGCGATATTTAACTCATTTGCTATTTGACAATGAAATTGATTCATAACGTGTTTTTTCAGAGATTCTTGATTGTGCTTTAGGAGTTTCATGCTGTATTTCTTTTCTCATTTTGTAACTTTTATATTATTTAATTTATTTGTGTTTTTTTTAGTACTATTTCAAACAAAAACAAAAAGAATTAAAAATAATAAACGCAGATAAAAATAAAATAAAAATTATTGAAGAAAATCATCAATATATTACTTAAAATTTAAAAATAAAGCAGTGAGCCCTAACTTTTGACCAACATAAAAAATTAAAATTATTTAATATTTGTTATCAAATTATATGTAATTAGGCGTACAAAATAAATTATAAGGAAACAACATGTCAAATAAACAGTAAACATAATACTTATTAATTAGTACTATTAATTAGTGAGTAAAATTTTAGGACAAGTTATTGCAATAGTTTAAACAAAATATACTCATATTTTTGTTTTGAAAGTATTTTTGAGAATATATGTCTTGAGTAAAAAAACTTTTATTCTTTAAAAATAATTCAATTGTTTTTTTGTCACATACAGATCTGCAAAAATTAGGTTGTGTCACTGAACTAAAAGCTAAAAAAGTTTAATTATCACATTTAAATTAGGTTTTAAGGCAAGGTTTTTTTAGAAATTATCAATTTTAATGTAAACTTTTCATCACTATTAAAAAAAAATTGGTTAAAAAGCATTAAAATAACTTATAGTTATAGTTGAAAAGCTGTTGCGTCACTGAACCCATCTACAGGATAATTAGCGTTTTATAAAATAACGTGGTAAGGAAGTCAAAATATCATCTAAATGTTCATATTTCAATGTGGGTTTCATTCGAATAAATTTTGCATTTTAGTATTGTGAATGGCTATAAATAAATATTTGTAAACTATCGGATTTATATTGGCATTTTCTTATAAAGTTGTAAATTTTTAGGGAATGATTTGAAAAATTGAAAGTCGGTCCTAATAAAAAAGCAGCTCATGCTGCTCAAGCAAAAGTAGGAGTTTTAAAAAGCCCCGTTCTTAAAATAAAACTTTTAAATCAATCTCAAAGACAAAGCTCATCTTTAAAAATGCTCAACAAAGAGGAAAAGTATTAAAAAAAGTTTTAAAAGCACTACCAACTTCAAAGAGGAAACAATCTGAAATTCTTTCTATTCTTTCAAATAGCTTTGCTTGTAAAGATAATTTGGGTCTACCTCTAGCATGTTCAAAGCTGTGTGGTCTTTCTGAAAGCAATGTTTTAGCAATTGTAAACTTTTATAATGAAGATGAAGTTTCTCAAATATCACCAAACAAAAAAGGTGTCACTTGAATTCAATTATCTAACAGAAAAGCAAACAATATTCAGATATGTCATTTATATTATACGCTAAAAAAAGCTTTTGAATTATTCAAGGAAACGCATCAGCACATAAAAATTAGACAAATTTTGCAACATTCATCCATGCAATGTGAAATCAGTTACATAATTTCCGCATAATGTTTGCGTATGTAGCTTGCATGAAAATATGCAATTTGTCTTAGATGCATTAACAAAATCAATTCAAGCGTCTTCAATCAAAGTTGGATCTGAAATGATAAATAGCTTTGTTTGTGAACCGTACACATACAATTGCGCCTATGATAAATGTGTTGCATGCAAAGTTTTGAAATAGTTTGATAAGCACTTGCAAACTGTTAATACATTTGGTTTCGAAGTATCCTGGAACAAGTGGAGAAAGCCTGAAACTAAAACATATGCAAACATTGAAAAAATTTCAAAAAAGTCTACTGTAGCAGAACTCATTCAATACATATCAGCAATGGGTGATAAGTTTGTTAAACACGCTTTTGTAAAGAAAAACCAACAATTTTTAAGAAACTAAAGGAAGTTTCGATGAGTATTAATTATGAAATTGCGGCAATCCAAATTGACTGGGCTGAAAATGCTACGTATTTCTATCAAAATGAACCGCAAGCAAATTTATGAGCATCTCATGTGAACTTGGCAAAAGTACTATTTTTTGTTTGCTTCAACACTTAGATTGAGTCTATTTTTTAACTGGCTTAACTCCATTATTAACATTAAATACAGACAAAATAAACCTTTGGATACACATTGGTCTGCTCACCACTATGCAGATAATGCCTTGTGGCTTTAATAAATAATATAAAAATAAATTTACATTTCAACAGATTCTTTTCAGTATGTCTGAATTGATAAATGAAAAAAATGACATCAAATCATAAGCAAAAAGTCAGGCTGCAGTTAACTTATCATAAGCAAAAAGTCAGGCTGCAGTTAACTTATGTTCCAGGTTTGTTGATGTAAGGAAGATTAAAAAAAACAAGAAAATGTTTTACATAGCTCGATTTTAATACAGCTGAAGATATGTTGCAATCCTTAAAAGCCAATGAAAACCATGAAAATTAAAGTGGTACATTTATTGGAATTTTTATAGGCCTTAAGTCTAAATACTGACAAAATTGTTCAATTTGTTTTGTTATGAAAGAAGAAGATTATTATTTGTTTATTATTGTTGATTGTTGAAGAAAAAGATATTTATTGTAATTTGACAGTAAAAAATACTATTGTAATTATTAAAAAAAAAAAGATTTTTATAATTTCATAAAGTATACTTTATTTTTAAAGTATACTTTATTCATAAAGTTATACTTTTTTACCTTTTACTGCTGGTTTAGATTGCTGCAAAACATTACTGATGATGTCATACTGAAATAAGGATACTAAAAATAGGGCAAAAAGTTCTTATGTATAAAAGTAATTTATTTCTGCAAAAGATATTGTTTTGTTTTTTTTCTAAAAAAAAGTTCAAAATAAAAACAGCAACAAAATAACAAAGTTTGACCATTCGTCACAATATAATTAAATAATATAATTAATTTTATTATGATAATATGGTTTTCTATTATAAACTTTTTTTTTAATATTTTAAATGTTTTAGAACTCTTGATGTATTTAAAAAAAGAAAAAATGTAAATGGAAGTTGAAACAGTTTTTTAAAGATTCTAAAATAATTTTAAAAAATTTAAGTTTAAATGTTTTTATTTTACAATTTCCATTTTTTAGCATGTTACTTAAATATTTCATTGTTTAACTTGTTACTTGTTAATTGTTATACTCTTTTTTTGACAAATTATATTATGATAATTTTTATAGTTACACTGAACATTATTCGTTATTATTACTGTTATAGATTTTTACAGTTATATAATTATGTGAATTAAATTATTTTTCAGTATAATATTTATAAATATTTCAATATTTACTAGAAACAAAAAAATATTACAAGATTATTATTTGATATAAAATATTTGTCTAGATAGTCACACAAAAATGTATGATTATTTATATAGTTTTTCAATGGTGGGTGATTACTCAAGGGTGGGTAGAATTATAAATTTAATTTACTAATTTTGAAATTCATGCACAGAATGTATTTAGTTTAAGAGTTTTTTTAGGTAAGCTATTTGATGCCAGTCTTTTTTGCCATTGTTGTCTTTCTTATATTTGATCAAAAAGCATATGTTTCATCACAGAACTTTCCAGCAACATTACTTTTGTTTATTTTATATGGGTAAGTGAAGTAGAAATATAAGTTTATAGAAATATTAACAATATCATTTTTAATAAAAAGAAGTAACTATATTTTAAAAAATAATTTAGGTGGTCTATAACTCCAATGATGTATCCTATGTCATTTGTGTTTAATGTACCAAGCAATGCATACATTGTGATGATAATAGCAAACTTATTTGTTGGTGTAATTGGAACTGTTTCAACATTTATTTTTGATGTTGTTGAAGAAAAGGTAATAGAGTTTAAAACAAATTTATATTGTGTGTTTAATTTTTTATATTGTGTTTTTAATTTTTTATATTAAATGGAACTTATGGATTTTTATATTGATGGAACATATGGATTATATATAATAGAACAAATTTGTATTTGGGTTCAATTGCTAAATGTAAATTGTATTTTTATAATAAATATTTTATTATATAGTTATAATAAATTTGTTTTCTTACCAATTACATTTATTTCTGTCCAGAATCTTTAATAGTATTTTTTAAAGTGGTAAGCAAAGACTTGAAAAACTTTAAATAGTCTCAGATTTTTAAAAGTTTTTCGAACAGTAAAAAAAGCAGCTTTACGGAGGTTACAGAAGATCGAGTTTAGAATGATGGAACAATTGCTTGCTTGAGCAGCAATCATTGTAGTATTTATAAAAAAGAGAAAGAACCTAATGACAACCAGACAGAAGTCTGTCTGATTGTCAGTGGCATTGTTTAAAAATTTTTTGTTGGAGTCTGGGCTTGAGTGCTGCAAATATATATAAAAAAAATTTCATTGACTGTAGTAGCCCTCTGGAGCTTTAAGAAGGTGAATTTATTAAAAAAGAAAGAATTATAAAAATACCTTTTAAATTTCTTGTGATTAAGGTTTGTTCTATCAGGTTGCTTCAAAATGCGCAAAGCTTTTCTTTAGCAAGTAAAAATTATTTATGAAAAAAGCTTATACTTGCTTCCATTCAGATCATTAGTTACCCTCAGGTCTTTTATTAGATAGTTACACCCTTTTTTTTGTGAATTCTAACTTTCTATCGACATTTTTATGGTGTAATCCCTGACTGTAGAATTTTCTTAGTATCAAGTCATTTTTACTCGATTATTAGTTTTTGCTCTAGCTCCTAATATTTAGCTTTCTAAAGCATAGTTTTTTTTATTTTGACGTGTAAAATCCTTACTCTTTCTTTTTTTGTATCAACAATCAAAGAAAGTAGTTTTTTTATCCTCTGGTGCTTTTTCTAGTTGTTGCGCAAGCCACCATTAATAAAAAAGTTGCATAATGAGAAAAGTTTTAAAAATTTTTTTAAATAATTTTAAGGATTCGACAAACATCTACAAGCCACTCAATTAAAACATGTGGGTAGAAAAATGTTATAAAAATTAATAAAAGTAAAAATCTCCTAACCCACTTCTCCATTATGGATTAGGAACCTGAGAGTTAAAAACAGAAAAAATAGGAGTAAAAAAATGGCAATAATCATGAAGAGAGTTATCTTTTATCTATAGCAATTCATTGTTAACTTTGCAATGGATTGGATTCCAGATAATCCATTATAAAATGTAAAGCAATGGACTCAGTAACAGTAGCCATTGATACTTTAATTATTATTTTGTTTTTGTTAAGTTTCCAATTAACAAAAGCTGTATTATTTTATCTGAATTGTATTACTTTTGAGTTAATAGTTTGTTATCTTTTTTTGTTTCAAAAAACTTATTTTAAGAAAAAAAAAAATATATATATATATATAAAATCAATTACACTAAAATTTTAAATTTCTCTATAAAGTTGTTATAATTTTTTTCTTAAAAGTTTTGTTCTAAAATTGTTCTAAAATTTTTGTTGCGTTAATTTGTTTTATCATTATTATCATTAACAAGTATTATTATAACTACTTTGATTCTTCTAAATTATTTTAGGCTGCAAGTACTATTAATGAATATTTTAAAAAAATCTTTTTGGTATTTCCAAACTATTGTCTGGGAAGAGGTATTATGGATCTTGGTATTAACCAAAATAAAGCTGAGATAGAAAAATCTTTTGGTAACTTATATTATTATAATTTTATTCTTATAATAAAAGTTTTATGAATTAATCTGTGATTAAATGATTATAATATATTCATATTAAACAAATTGCTTTGACAGCACATTAGTTGTTGTAGTAATATTATTATAGTCTTACCTATAAAATTTTTTATTTTTACAGGTTTAAATTCTTTCAGAGACCCATTTTCTTGGGACATAACTGGAAGAAATTTAATTGCAATGGCTATAACTGGTGTCATTTTTTTTTTGTTCACGTTGCTTTGTCAGTTTAATTTCTTTTTAAAACCATGGTAAGTGATGAATAACAATTATTTTGTTGTCTATTTGTTAATGTTATCTGTTATATTCTATTCTGATATTTGTTAATTTTTTCTTACAGAATTTTTTTTTAATATTTATTGCAACTCGTAGTATATATGTATATATATATATATATATATATATATTATATATATATATATATATATATATATATATATATATATATATATATATATATATATATATATATATATATATATATATATATATATAATAAGCTGTCTATTAACTATATTAGTTTATTTTTAACCATTTGTAGTCGAAGCATTGACAATTTTATTTGGTATAAATCTCTAGATATTTAAAACCTGATTGTTGAAAATGTATTATTCGATAAGCTAGGGAAAAATAGTTTTGGTACAAACCAAATTTTAAATCCTAAATATACCAGCTGATCATATCTATTTTGGTTTCAAGTTTGAACTTTTTGATTATATCTATATGTTTTCTTCTAACTATTATTGTTAACTTAAGCACAACTTGTTTTGTACTCAATTAATGTTTTGTCAATTTTAATCAAAAAAATCAATTCTTAATTGTGGTGCAATGTACAAGTTCAATATTCATTTTAAAATGAGGGCGCCAAAATGTGATAATATATTCTAGATTTGAATATACATAAATTGTATAAATTTTTAAAGATTTTTACTTCTATGCTATTGAATGTGGGCTTTAAAATGCCTAACATTGTGTCTGTCTAACATTGTCTGTCTATATATATATATATATATATATATATATATATATATATATATATATATATATATATATATATATATATATATATATATATATATATATATATATATATATATATATATATATATATATATATATATATTATACATTTAATACTTAATTATTTTCTCTTAGATCATCTGAAAGTTTAAACCAAGGACTTTTTTAAATGTTGTTGAATGTTTTTACTTTAAAAAAAAATTGTTTATTTTTTATTAAGTTTTCAAATATTGCAATTTAAATCTGTGATGGAATCCCACAAACATTTTGGCTTTAAATAAAGCCACAATGTTTCAGTGACTTCATCTGAAGTAATTTCTGAAGTAACACCTGTAAATGAAGTAATACCTTTAAATGTATGGTTTTTATTACAAACTGGATTTTATGAAATTTAGAATGTAGTTCAATTATGTTAACATTTATTTCTTACTTAACAGGACCTACAATGTTAAAAATCATTCATTACAAATAGATGTGGATGATGATGTAATGAAAGAAGAAGAGCGCATCACTAGAGAAAATAGTTTAGGAAAAAAGTTTACTCTTAGAACTTTACATTTATCTAAAGTGAGAAAAAAAAATAATTAATTTTAGTTTTGTTAAGTGCTAAAAAAAACTAATAAAATATTTTTTATAAGTATTTGAAGATATTTTAAAATGCTTATAAATATTTATAGATTCAAATAATCAAGTTTTGGAATAATGATTTTATTTCGATTTACTAATTTTTTTTGTATTATTATTATTAATATATTGCAATATCATCATTTTTTCAATAAAATTAGGAAGTAGAAATTAAACTATACCTTTAAAAAAATATTTAAAAGGTGAATATTTATTTAGATATATAAAGGGAGAAAAAACCTAAAAACTCTTGCTGTCAATCAAATATCTTTTGGTGTTGAACCTGGAGAGGTAAAACTGAAACAAGAAAACAAAAGATTTTTTTTTTTTTTAATTTAGAGTTTTTTTTACAAAACCTTCATTTTTTGTTATTTTATACTTTATAGTGTTTTGGTTTACTTGGTTTAAATGGGGCTGGAAAGTCGAGCATGTTTAAAATGCTTACTGGAGACAGTTCCATAACAGATGGTGATGCATTTGTTAATAATTATAGGCAAGCTTGACCTTTTTAAATAAATATATAAATATTACTTGTTCAAACATTTGAAACTATTTTTGTTTAATTGGAATAATATTGATTCATGTTATGTAAACATTTTAACATTCATAACCTATTGTTCATCCTAACAGTTGTTGTCTGCAATATCTCTAATTAAATGGTACAACTTTTTTTGTAATATATCTCCTTTATGCAAAGTTTTCTTTTTATGTAACTTTCCTTTTTATATTAACTAATCATTTTTATTGATCTTTTTTAATTGTATATTGGTTGTATTAATTTATTGTTTAATTTTGTAAGTTGAATCAAACCAATGTACATGGGATCTCAAAACATAAACTAGATAGATGATCTCAAAACATGAGCTTTCAAATTACGAGCATAAAGTAGCTTGAGCTTTTATTAAACATGTGAAAAGGAATTTTATTTTTCAAAAAAAGGATTTTTTATGTTTTTGATAAGTTAAAACTTGGAAGTTTGAAGAATGATTACAACTCTTCTCTTGTTTGTTTAAGTATTTAAATTAAAAAAAAAATTACTTTTAAATTAAAAGTATATATCAAAAAACAAGATAGCAATATATTTCTGCCAATTGGTTATTATTTAAATGGTTTAAAAACATACTTTTTAATAATATATTATTAAAAAGTATGTTTTTAATAATATATTATTAAAATACTAAAATATAATATTAATTTAATATAAATATAATATAAATATAATATAAATATAATATTAATAATTAAGTTATAATATAAATATCAAAATATAATATTAAAAACATACTTTTTAATAATATATTTTTAAAAAGTATATTTAGTGTTGCTTATAAACAAATGTATTTTTATTTATTAAACTTTAGTATTCGAGATGATTTAAAAAAAGTTTATCATACCATTGGGTATTGTCCTCAATCTGATGCTTTTGATGAGTTACTCACAGCTAAAGAATTGTTTTTGTATTTTTCTCAACTTCGTGGATTTAATAAATCACAAAGCAAAAAAGTATTTTTTTGTCTTTTTTTTTTTTTTAGTTAAACCATTGAACTGTTTAATAAAAAAAATTTTGAAACTTTTTTTTAATATGATTTTGTACAGTGTACACTGGACCACAATGGACCACACCAAAGTCAAAAAAATTATTTTAGTAAATTTCTTCAAAATACTAAAGTATATTAGTATGTAGTAAAAATTATTTATTATATTAAAGTCATATGTGCAATAAATAGTCATGTGTGCAAATTATAGTAAAAACCATTTTTATGGAATAATATAGTTTTAAATACTACTTATGATTTTTCTCAAAAATGTAATTTTAATTTCTTTAAAATCAATATTTAAAAACTTTTTTTTTTTTATTTGAAAATATGCAAATATACTTTTAAATTTTTGAAAATCTCACTTTCTTTCTTTTTTAGCTTTTTGGTTTTTATTAATGCATATATTAAACTTGTTTAATTTTTTTAATTTAAATTTTATTTTGTTTAAATTTAAATCTGTCTGGGTTTGATTAGAGTATAAAACACAAAACTTATAACCATACCTGTGGGAGCCAGCAACTTTTTTTTAAGTTGTATATTATGTTAAATGTAATATTTTAAAACATAAAATAAATTTAAAATCAATGTGTGTAATGAATAATGTCACCAATAACATATTTGGGCACTTAATTAATAAATTACCAACTTATGTTGAGATAATAAAATGATAATAATTTCATCGTAATTTTTATCAATTTATGCCAATAATTATATTTGTGTTAATAGTTTGGTGTAAAGCTTAGACAGACATGTTATAAAATTGCACCAATTAAAAAAATGCTTGAGAAATCTTTACATGTATGTACTTACAGATCAAATAGTATATAATGATACTTTAAGCCTGCACAATAGGGGCTGGCATTTTTATTTTGAGCTAGTTTTATTTTGCTATTTAAAAATGCTAGTTGCATTTATTTAATTGAGCTTACTTTAAAAGGAACAGTTAAAACTCGTATATCTTGAAACCCATAAACAACGATAGCCATTTCGATTTTTAAACTGCTCTAGTATAGTCTTCTTTTTGATATCTGATATTTGAAATATATTTGATATCTGTTCTTATTTGACTTCTGTATTTTTACTGGTTATGATTCACTGCTAATAACATATTAAGTTATATTATTTAAAATTCAATAAAAATTTTTAAATAATATTTTACTAATAACATATTAAGTTATATTATTTAAAATTCAATAAAAATTTTTAAATAATATTTTACTAATAACATATTAAGTTATATTATTTAAAATTCAATAAAAATTTTTAAATAATATTTTACTAATAACATATTAAGTTATATTATTTAAAATTCAATAAAAATTTTTAAATAATATTTTACTAATAACATATTAAGTTATATTATTTAAAATTCAATAAAAATTTTTAAATAATATTTTAACATATTAAGTTATATTATTTAAAATTCAATAAAAATTTTTAAATAATATTTTACTAATAACATATTAAGTTATATTATTTAAAATTCAATAAAAATTGTTAAAATATATTTTAACATATTAAGTTATATTATTTAAAATTCAATAAAAATTTTTAAATAATATTTTACTAATAACATATTAAGTTATATTATTTAAAATTCAATAAAAATTTTTAAATATATTTTACTAATAACATATTAAGTTATATTATTTAAAATTTAATAAAAATTTTTAAATATTTTTTACTAATTTTTATTTGTTTCTAAATAAATTGTCTAAAAATCATACACAACAAAAAATCTTTTTAAAAATACCTATTTTTATTGTGGGTACACTTTTTATTGCGGGTACACTTTTTATTGCACTTTATGACTAAACCAAAATGATTACTTAGACTGATGTGGTCAGGTATAGACTGGTGTGGTCCGGTGTAGTATTCAAATATACCCGGTTTTGTGTATGAAATAAGAAATTAAAATTTGCTTTTTTATTTTATTTAGGTAGCAAATTGGGCACTTCATAAATTGGGATTGTTTGAGTATAAAAACCAAAAATGTTATGAGTACAGTGGAGGAAACAAGAGAAAGGTTTCTACTGGACTTGCACTTATTGGATCACCATCTTTGATTTTTTTGGTACAAATCTTTTTATTAAAGTTTTGATTTTTAATTTAATCAATTTTCTTTTTATAATTATGTTTAATTTTTCCTTAACAAACTTTTTTTGACAATTTAAAGTGTTAATAAATATTTTATTTTTTTAATTTAGGATGAACCAACCACTGGTATGGATCCAGGATCAAGAAGATTTTTATGGGACATAATTATTTCTTTATTACGTGATGGAAAATCTGTTGTACTCACTTCCCATAGGTGATTTATATGTAGCTTTATTTACATTTTTTGTTTTCAATTTTGATTTAATTTTTTTTATTATTAATTATTTTATTGCATTTATTATTATTTTGATTTAAAATTTTCTTTCTTAGCATGGAAGAATGTGAAACCCTTTGTTCTCGGATTGCTATCATGGTTAATGGAGAGTTTAAATGCATGGGAACTCCTCAACATCTCAAAAACAAGTAACCAACTCATAGAACTACTTTGAAATGTTTTATACAGATTTTCATTATTAATTAATTTTTGCTTATTTTTAGGTATGGCCTGGAATACGTTATTATAATTCGCTGCAGTTCTCATTTATTTGTTGAGGTTGAAGCTTTTGTGAAATCAAATCTACTAGATGCAAAACTAAAGGTTTAATAACATTTTAAATAAATTTTTTGTTATAAAAAAATAGTTGTTGCATCTGACTAAGAAAGTTTAGTTGACACATTTAGCTAGTTTTGAGAATTTTGCATTTGTTTTAAATCTTTTATGTTTACGAAAAAATCATTCTTAACTAATAGATGAATTTTTTAAAAGTATGCACATGTAAGTTTTAAAAAAATCTTTAAAATTGCATAAACCTTTCAACAATTTTAGTTTTTCATCTTTATGAAAATTTTTTTGCACCTTAATAGAAATTTTTGTGCACCTTAATAGAAATTTTTGTAAGCTTCCACATTATTTTATCTCATCAAATTATCTCAGCATTTTACACATATTAATTCATCAAACACATTATATTATCTCATTAAATTCATCAAACACATTATATTATCTCATTAAATTCATCAAACACATTATATTATCTCATTAAATTCATCAAACACATTATATTATCTCATTAAATTCATCAAACACATTATATTATCTCATTAAATGCAGTTGAGGAAGCAAATTAAATTGAGCAAGCATTGAAAGTATATAAAAAACATGTTTTTTGTTTAAAAAATATAATACAGCTTATGACACAAAGTCATCAAGCTATCTACATGGTTGAATGTTTTTTCTTTTACAAAACGACCAAACTTTTGTTTTAATAACTTGAAGAAAATATTAAAGAATAACAGTTTACACATTAACAGTTTACTTATATTTAAATAGTCTTTGGCAAAGAAAATACTGACATAAGTATATTTTAAAAATGTCAACCTATACATTCTTTCAATACTAATAGTTTTGTTATTTCGGAAATTTTTTCTGGGTTATAGATACCAGTGCTTATTAAAGCTTTATCATCAGCTTATTAAATATTACAATAATTTTTTAACATTTTATTTTAATAGCATAAAATTGCTACTATTAACCCTATTAATTGTTAATTGTTAAGATTTTATACTATTAATTATACTATTAATTGTTAATTGTTAAGATGTTAATGCATTTGCGTGTTTACCTGCATTTTTGTTTTACCTGCGTAAACTTTGGAACAGTTGCATTTTATTGTATAGATTTTAGGCTGTTACTAGTTTTTTTTTTTTTTTTTTTGATGTTTATAAAGGTCTTAAATTTGGGTTTGATTTAAATACTGCTCTGTATCCTTTTTTCAGAATATTTTTCGAAGTTTTATTGAAAAGCCTTGGAACCCATATGTTATTCTAATGAAACCCATATGTTATTCTAATTAAATGGTATTTTTATTGTTGTTTTTGATAAAATTGATAATACTGCACAAATTTAAATGATTTCTTCTCAGAGTTGCTCCATGGGTAGTAAACATTGCAAAATAAAATGAATTTTTTAATATGCATTTTTATTGAAAATGAGTATGATGAGAAACAATTGTGCAGTATTACCAATTTTATCAAAAAAGACAATAAAAACACAATTTCATCAAAATATTTATACATTTTCAATGTAAAAATTGATTCCCCTCTTTTTACTAGTTCTTATGAGAAAGCCCATAAACCAAATTTTCAAAACAAACTTCCTTGTAAGTTATTGGTTCCCCCAAAAAGTGAAATTGGACATGTAATTAAAATGAAATTGGACAAAATTAATAATATTCTTAGAAATAAATTAAAAATGAATAAAGATGACATTTATTCAATTTGATATTAATGATTTTTACCCTTCAATAACTGCAGATATTTTAAATAAAACAATCGAATTTGCAAAAAGCCACACAATTATTCCTGAAGAAACAATCTTTACTTTAATAAGGAAACTTGGAAAAAGAAAAATATACACAACTGCTTTGATGTGACAATGAGCAGTTATGACAGAGCAGAAATTTGTGAATTTGTTGGACTATACATTTTAGATTTATTAAGTAAAATAATCAATATAAATCATAAGCAATCTTTTTGAAAATTAAAAATATTCAAAAGACACCATGCTATCAAAATATATATGGAAACTAAAGGATAAAAATATTGATGATTTTATACTGAATTGGTCCATTCTCAAAACAGCTCCTGCAAAAATGCATGCTATGTCTACAAGAAAAATTTGAAATAATTACACATGCAAACCAAGAATGTTTGTTAAACAAAAAATCGGAATTGATTTCTAGGTGCAGGCACGAAAATAAGTTTCCTAAAAAACTATAAAAATAAACAATAGTTACACTAAATCCCCCCTTTTAAATAATATTTTTTTAAAAAAGCATAAGTAATCATTTTTAAAAAAATTCTTTTTATAATAGTGTCAGCAAATTCCACAAATGTGTGAAAATTTACAGTAGTTAAAACATTTGCTAATATATATATATATATATATATATATATATATATATATATATATATATATATATATATATATATATATATATATATATATCTTTAGTGTTGACATCGTGTATAAGTTATATTAGTCAGAAAACATCAATTAGTATGAATTCTCTTAATACAATTAATAATTTATTATTAGAAATTTTCGCTGGATTATGGTTACCAGCATCATCAGCTCGTAAAAATTATACAATAATTTTTTTTTTTTTTTTTTTTTTTTTTTTATACAATTTTTTTTTATTGTTTAAAAAAAAAATTTTATTGTATAATTTTTACGAGCTCATGATGCTGGTAACCATAATCCAGCAAAAATTTCTAATAATAAATTATTAATTGTATTAAGTGTATTCGTATTAATTGATGTTTTCTGACTAATATATATATATATATATATATATATATATATATATATATATATATATATATATATATATATATATATATATATATATATATATATATATATATATATATATATATATATATATATATATATATATATATATATATATATATATATATATATATACATATATATATATATATATATATACATATATATATATATATATATATATATATATATATATATATATATATATATATATATATATAAATATATATATATATATATATATATATATATATATATATATATATATATATATATATATATATATATATATATATTCCATTTGAATCTAAGAAATTACATAGTAGGCACAATCTTTAGCAATAAATGCGAGAAACATTAGTTAAGGGATTTTCACAAAAACATCATCATCGCAAAGTCATTTTAAAAATTACAATGAATTAAAGTGAATCTGAAGAAGAAGAATAAAATAAAAGACACAACTCAAGGAGCTATAGTAAAGGATTTAGTTGATAAAAGACACAACTCAAGGAGCTATAGTAAAGGATTTAGTTGATAAAAGACACAACTCAAGGAGCTATAGTAAAGGATTTAGTTGATAAAAGACACAACTCAAGGAGCTATAGTAAAGGATTTAGTTGATAAAAGACACAACTCAAGGAGCTATAGTAAAGGATTTAGTTGATAAAAGACACAACTCAAGGAGCTATAGTAAAGGATTTAGTTGATAAAAGACACAACTCAAGGAGCTATAGTAAAGGATTTAGTTGATAAAAGACACAACTCAAGGAGCTATAGTAAAGGATTTAGTTGATAAAAGACACAACTCAAGGAGCTATAGTAAAGGATTTAGTTGATAAAAGACACAACTCAAGGAGCTATAGTAAAGGATTTAGTTGATAAAAGACACAACTCAAGGAGCTATAGTAAAGGATTTAGTTGATAAAAGACACAACTCAAGGAGCTATAGTAAAGGATTTAGTTGATAAAAGACACAACTCAAGGAGCTATAGTAAAGGATTTAGTTGATAAAAGACACAACTCAAGGAGCTATAGTAAAGGATTTAGGTTGTCTAAAAAATTAGTTGCAAATTAACTACCTGATTTAGAGATTAAAAAAGACTGAAATTTGGAGCCTTTGAACCAGTATTCAGTGAACTAACTCAAGAACCTATTCAGTGAACTAACACAAGAACCTATTCAGTGAACTAACACAAGAATTCAGTATGATGAACATTTAAATCACTGAAAACAGTTTTTTATTGGTGGAGAAAATTTTTATTGGTGAACAGGTGAATAGAAAGATTTATTTGATTGTAGTTAGCATAGAAAAAAGCATTCATGGTAAGGAGGATAATGGTTTTTTATTCTTTGGTGCTACAGTCATGAGAGAGATATTAATCATAGATTGTACTTGATATCCAAAGTAACAAGCTATGTAGTTGTTTTTTTTTGCTGATAATAAACCAAAAATTCTAGCTTGGAAGAGTAGGGAAATATGTTGGAGGAATATTTTTTTAAACTTTGTTTAAAAAAGCAAATTTTACAATGCAGCAGAACATGTGACAAGGTGTACTGAGTCACATGTAATACCAGATTAGTATGAGCCAAACCTGGTTCAGGTTTAGTTAGACATACCAAAAAAGTTCACTGGAACGCATTACTGGAGTATATACTGGAAACAAATTACTGTGACATTTTACTAGAAAAAAATTATTGGAATATATAACTAAATAATATTAAAAATGAATCCGTGGAGCATCTTGTTATACAAGAAAAATATTCACATTAATTTACATGTTTTGTTGTAATTAGGTTATTCAAATACAGGTATTCGTTTTAATCAGAACATTCAAACATCAAATGACATATATAAAGCTAAAATTAAATTTACGTTATATACATATATATGTATGTATATAACATAAATTATATCTTAGCTTTGTGTATGTCATTTTCAATAAACTATTTATTTATCTAAAAAATACTTAACTAATTTTAAACTTTTGCATGAAACTGTTTATAGTAAAATAATTATTGATAACGCTTTTTTAAGTTTTATTTAAATTCCTAATCTTATTTCTTGATAATATTTTGTCCTCTGTCTGACAGGCAAAGTTCAAAATATTTAAAAACTCTGGCTTTTTTAGTAATTAAGTATTAAATTTTTTCATATGCTTTTTTTTTTTCGTATATTTAATAATATAATAAATATATAAGTTTAAACTTAGCTATTCTTAAAACTGAATAATTTTTAAAGTTTTGTT